TTTTAATGCAGCCAAATGATGGTTATTAACGATTTTAGAGATAAATAGGAGAGTGTAATTATATAAAACTATCAACTACCAACGATTTCTATTCGACAAAGGAGTTTAATGTGTGAACAAAATGTAATGCAGTGAACTATAGAAAACGTGATAGTGGCCAACAAATACAATATTATTGGTATAAAGCCAATATTTCTCAGTAATGCATCGAATCCGGAATTGTAGCTATACTTTATCAGCTCAGACAGCTTAGGTTTAAGGTTCAAAAAATAGGGTAGGTACTCGAGGTATTTGAATACTCCCTAAATGGTTATTTATGGCGTTTTTAAGGTTGGAAAATACTGTATATATGAAGAAGAAAAAATGTCAACGAAAGATTTACAAAAATAGAATATAACTTTTGGTGAATATAATCAATGTAATTTCAATATAAGCACATTTTGCCAGAACATTAAGCACGGTCAGGGGGATCTTACCGGCTGGCACTTTTGAACAACTATAATATTTAATGGTGTTTGCAAAATTTATTTTAAAACTTAAGAGAAATGCTTAAAACTTTTTCGGAACAAAAAATAAAAAAAGAATTTCTTTTCGTCGGCTTATAAAGGGTTAGTTTTTATTTTGGTAATACTTTTACAAATAATACTTCTTAAACACGAAACTATTTTATACACTCGCTCTTGTGATTTTTTTTTCTTGTTTATTTTTTTTTATGACACCGAATAGGCTATACTGGATAGGTGTCTTTTTGACACTTTCGGAACTTATCAGTTTCTTCTGATTATTTTCTATCCACAACAAAACTATGTAGGTTTTAAAAATATGTACAATTTTGAATACTCGAAACAATGGATTATTTATACATATTTATGTATACAAACAAAGCGTCTTTTTATTGTATATGGCAAACAAATATTACTCAATAATATATGAAACGTTTAATAAAAAAAAGTTCAACGAGATTGAGATTTATGTGTAAGAGTATTTCTAATAATAGACGTGCAAACTAGTAACTACTGGCGTAGTATAAGACAAACGATCAGGGGGACTGTAGTCCTTGTATTCATATCTCATAAAAAATATATGTATTGTATAATATATTATACAGTATAATCTACTGTATATATATTATACAGTATATAAAACGTTTCTCGTATTTTCAAATGCATTTGATACGTTTAGCCGACTTTTAAATATCATAATATGTGTGTTTTATAATAATCGGTTGACATGTATTCCTGTGTGTCAAAAAAAAGTTTGATCTTCTTTTACGGATGCGTGCGGTTAGTGGTTACCCAATGAATTGTATTCTTAAAACGTGCAATGATGATTAAAACCTCGGGTAAATAGGTCGGGACGGCAAAGTTTCTTCGAGATCACAGATTAAAGCCTTCTGCTTTTGTCATATTGCTTTTAAGGCGGATTAAAACTTTTGCTCTGATCTCTACTATATCTTAGAGAGACAGAGCAAAAAATATATTCAAAAAAATTGTTTTTTCGTTTTTCTAAATAACGCTTCAACCGTAAGTGTATCGATCCAATAAATCACAATACATTGTCGATCAACACTTGTATTATTATAACTACTAAGTAATATAAGTACTGATGACCCATCTTGGGCGTTTTTTTTACCTATTATCATGACCTGGTGAGATTAAGCATCCTATATTGTCGAACCTAGCCGTTTTATACTTACACATTAAATCGCTTCGTAACACAAACACAAGCCGGAAGCAATTTAGTATAAAATGTTTTTTTCCGATCGTGACATTATTGACCGACGTCGTCCCGAGTAAATATATTTTAGTTGAGAAGGCATTCCTTGAATAAACATAATGGTCTAGGGATATTAGTTTTGATAAAAATCTCCAGCGGGCTGACATATGTTTGCATTGACCTCGGTACATTTATACGGTTTACGGTAAACGCTGTTTAAGGCATATTATGAGTTATGACACAGCAGAAAAAAACACTTTGGGAACTTTTAACAGGCATTTTAAATATATTATTATTGCGGTGGCATTAGTCTGCAACGCAGACAAACGTAAATACAAATATCTCGAGTATGTGTGTATAATTAAGGCAGTAAAGGAAAATATTAAAATGGTGATATCAGTTAAAGTAATTATTTTTCTCGTTTTTTATTTTATTTATGAATTCGATATTTTTATTAAAATATCAGTTTTAGCTCGTATTTAATCGAAGTGTGTGTCCAAATTGGACCAAACGGTCAAGTCGATATTATATTTTTTACCGCAATCTAATACATTTTGTTGAATTTAAATAAAAATTATTTAATATGAACTGGCTTTTAAATGTCGATCGAGTAGCATTGTTGTATAGAGTTTAAAAACTAAAATAATGAAGCACTTTCTGGCTTAAACATTTTGCAGGCTTAAAAAAAAAATAAAAACCACTTCTCTCCGAACAGTGCTGTAGTTAAAAAAAAACCTGTGTTGTCTTACTATAAAGATATTTCATACTGGAATTTAATAAATAAAAAAATCATATTTTTTTTTTATATATTACATAAAATATAATATAATTTGAAATAAGAGCGGGCAGCGCGTGAGTGGGTACCGTGAGATAATTTTCTTCTTCTTTTGTTTGTCGTCGGTCTTTGGTATTTAATTTCGCATTTCTTGAAGCGAGAGAGATAACAGTGCACGATTCATTTATCACTGCAGTTCAAATTGAAGAGTATGCTGTTGTTTGGAGGTGGAAGCTGATATAATGACTGATTTTAAATACATCGGCTTTGCGCTATTTCTGTTGATCAATCATGCAGTTTTTGTTTTTGTCATCTGTATTTCTTTTAGAACTTTTATTTGTACTTCGCGAATACTGTCACCAGTGGCAATGATCTTTTAAGTTTTATATTTGTTAATGTAGAACTAACGATTCTGCAGTCTCGTTATTTTCGCACAGTCTGTTAACGTCATGTCTTAAAAAGACATCTAAGAAGAGAAAATTCATCATTGAAACAAAACGAGCACAAACCCGAAGCCGTCGATTTTATTACTTGTGACCGAGTTATTAGACAGCATGATAAAATCACAATAATTCGTGATATTTGAAAAATAATATTGTCCATACAAAATTGTGCACGTGGCTATAGTTTCAAAAATAATTATATAGATAAGCATTTTATATATATTCGTATTTTATTGCAAATACTTTATCATCCGGCATTAAATTGTCAATAAAATACAATTCCCATTAGCCGGATTTCACTTTATTTCTATAATATAGTTGATAAAAAACAATCAAGTTTTTAGAGATGAAATACTTAAAGTTAGATAGTACTACAAAAGTACGACGAAAATAATAATATGAAACTTAAACGTTTTATTTTTTTACATCATATTTTTTCGTAGGATTTGAAATCTTTCTATAATACAACAATTTAATATAACATTTCTAAATATTAGAAAATTCAAAAATTATTCACGCATTATGTTCAAACCACTAAACAACACAATATTTTATTATAAAATTAATATGCTTTTATAAATATATATTATAACATAGGTATATTTGTTTTAGGTTAATCAAAAATGAACAATATGAATATTGTTATAATCACATATACAAACACATGATATGCTGTAAAAACAAACAAGAAAATAATAACTATGCAATATTCATATTGTTGACCTATTGATTTCGGTTACCTCCCAATCCACACGGTAGTCGGAAGGTGCAGAAATGGCCAGTTGCCAGCGAGTTCCATAAAACCGAGATCGTTTACCGTCAGAAATCCAAGCTTTTAGAGGTCTTCCAAGCTACTGCTCTCGAACTACGGAGCATACCCGTCATAATTTCCATTGGCGGAGTTTACCCGGTTGTGTATAGCTACACATAATGTACCGTATTATTCCGGTCGGATTCTCCCGGCGGTTGCCACCGATGACTGACTCATCGCTATAATATCCGTTCGGTGTCGGTATAATAATAACACGTCCTACAAAATAAGGAGCGGATACCTTTTTTTTTCAATTTACAAGAGACCGCTTTTATAGGGGCTATACAGTGTAGGTATACAGCGAGTCCCAGAGTAACTGTTGCGGCGCTAAACCCTCCAAGCACCGCACTGACCGCGTTCAATACACCGCAGCAACCGTTCGTTCAACCGGTTAGACATTTTTTGCTCAAACAAGTGGTGGTTTTTAAAATGACAACATTTTTTTGTAATATTCCAATAAGCAATCGTTTCGGGCAGCGGGCTAAGTACACACAGTGGCAAATTTTTAGCGCATACTGTATATATAATGTATATATTGTTGTACACACCCACACCCACACCGGAACTACTATGCGGGTACCCGATTCACTTGTCGCCCGAAAATATCTTGAGCGACGAAGCTCGTGTTCCGCACGTTCGGCCGAATGTTGTTGTTGCCGGGAACTCGAACCATTATTTCCGAGTAACCGACGCCGTCCATCAGCGCAAAAAAAAAAACCAACCTTATTTCCCGTTTTTTCGGTCCGTCAGTCCGTCTATATGTAGGTACTATGTAAAAAAAAAATATGAAAGAAAAAAAAAAACCGGAATTTTTCATCCTCCTCGGTCGGGCCGGGTATACGCTTGTACGGCCTCGATGTTGCCGGTAGTGTTGCGCGTTAAACAGGCGTACAATCGGCCGCACTTAACTTCCATCCATCACCTGTGCACGAAAACACAATGCGAACGTCGCGGCGATAGGCGGAGCGTGCGCTAAATAAAAAACAAAACGGGGTGCAAAATTAAGAAAAGAAAAAATTATCATATTGTAAAGAAGAGCCGGCGGCACAGCGCGAAATAATACAACATCCAATGCACCTGAGTGGTAGGTATAATACCTACACATACTATATACGGCGTGGAAACGGCCAACTATGAAGTGCGGTGCCGGAAAAACGCAAAAAGTCCGCGCTTTCAACAGATGGCGCGAAAATCCGCCGACAAAGTGTGCCGTTCCGTCCTAGGTCGTCGCTCAGTAACGTTTTGAACGCCGGCAAACGCACCGACAGCGTGGGCCAGAACGCCGTCCGAGTCCCGTCCACACTTACGACGACGTGCTCGCGCCAAGTCTAGTGTCGATAAAAAAAAAAATAAAGGTTTAAATAAAAACAAGGGTCCCAAAAAAACCGCATCCGTAGCTTGTGTGCCGTAGCGGTTTTTTTTTCGCCGTAGTCGTCGGCAGTCATCCTCCACCGTCCAGCTCCCCTCCTCCCCCCCCCCGTTCGTGGGTTTTCACGCCGAGGATTACGACGATGTTTGTTTGGCCGCCATAAACGTAAGTACGTTCAATTAAGACACGTGTGTAGGATAAGTAATATAACGACTACAATAATAATTGTTGTATTATTATCGCCATCTTAAGGTAAAGGCCCGGGCTCGTCGGCCGTACACCCGGCGTTCGCCCATTATGTATTGTAAACAAAAAACTTTAGAGGTGCGATAGTAGATCCACATCACCATTAGACGAGAAGAGATACGTTTAAACGCGTCAAACCCAATATTGTGTAACTCTAATTCAGCGAAATCACTCACTACTAACAGGTATAATATTGTAATAATGTCATGTGCATCTCATATGCGTCCGAGTGCATCCGAGTAAACGGCCTGTGGGATTTAATTTTCTTTTGACACCTTTGCCCGTACCACGTTGAACGCCATTGAAGAAAACCCGGATACGAACCGCGCACCAGTTTTTTCCACTTGACTGTCAGTCAACGTGTGTATTGTGTTGGACGACGGCATATCCGTTTGAACTTGCAAATGGCGTGGGACAACAACAATCGGTCAGGTACCTAACCGGGTATATACCGTACTTACTAGATGGACGAGCTTTCACACACTTGTTCGCCCCGGTGCAGCCCAAACGATTACGGTAGCGACCTTTTCTTCGTACAATTTACGACGGCAAATAGAAATCACTTAGCAGATCGTCGATCCGCCCTCTTACTGCCGTCAAATTACTTTTTCGCTCCAGCCGGCACCCCGAACCGTATTAGTGGAAGCCGACAAGCGACGTTATAATATTATATAGGCCCACTTAACGACCGTGGTCAATGGTCGTCGATCATACAGTAATCCTCCGTATCGTTATACAGAGCTTATTGAAACTTAAAAGCAGCCAAAAAGGATCTGCGTAATTATTATTGTCCAGAAAAAAACCGACAGAATCAATCATTTCGTTCTGTAATTTGTGTATTGTTGTTCTCGGCAAAAATATTATTGCAGCCATTGCTGCAAGGATAAAAACTATTTTATCCTAATTCACCATAGCCGTACAATCAAATGTTTCGTCTATCAGTACACTGTACAAACGGATAGAATTTGAAAATGAAAATCGCGGCATTCCATGCGTATTTTGTTATAGAGATTGAGTAGGTATATTGAGAATATTATGTATATTTATGAACGATACCTACGCTCGAAATAAAAGAAATTCAAGAATTTTGGTTGATTCCATTTGATTAATTTTGTAATTTGATCTATACACTAAATCATTAGTTCCGTTCCAAAATTAACATCTCAGTCAAATTTTATATTGTTTTAAAAATGTATGATTTGTATTGATGTTACGTTCGATATCTATGTCTTATATATTCTGCATCCACAGTTAAGTTCGAACGCCACTGGTATAACATGTTTTTAATAAATAACTAATAATTAATTTTAATTTTTACATTCCCCAATATACTGTAGGCAATTTTATGTGAATTCTATTATGTAATATAATAAAGTTATAATGTATACCTTGATTATTTTTTTTAGAATGTTGTTTTTGGTAATCGTATTTCGCTTGTGTAATTAGTTTAATAAAATGTAGTCCATGTGCTATGCTCTCGAATGGTCAGAGTTTGTTTGTGAGGTACTTGAAATTTCATTAATGAGAGTGTCTGGTTATATTGCAATTTGGCTCCATCAGATCTAGAGTATTGAATCCAAAGGTTTAACCATATCCTGGGATTGAATTAATCGGATTTATTTAACTTGTTTAACGACGTCTACAATTTATTGCTTTGTATGGAAAAAAATAAAGCTTTTCAGAAGGTTTAATATTGGTGACAGTACAGAATATTCGATAAGTAACTGTATTTCCGGACATAGTACCTTTAAAACTAAAAGGATACAAAATCAATGGCGAACTAGACAGGTCCAGTAAGCAAATTTAAAAATATTAAAAACAACTCATTTTTATTTATCATAGATTTATATTTTACTGTATACGGCTTACAGAAATGGCCGAAAATTATGATATTAACTAGCCTAAAAATCTTTGACTTCCATTAGTTTTGAAGGTGATTTTGTGCCACCCATACTTTTTATGATTAGTTATATACAATATTGTATTTGTGGCATTTGTTAGGCTTCATTAAAAATATGAATCAAGGCTCAAGCAATAACCGGTAAATATTATTTCGTTTTGTTTATTTAAATTACACAAATTGACCGTATACAAATGTTTATTTTCTTGTTCATTCTATTAATAAAATCGAAATTCTAGTGAATATAATTTTTAATTATATGTTTACAACAATGAACTTTGTATGGTATCTTCGGTAAAAAAATATAACTACTAGAATAAAATCACGGCATTGTTCAGATAACAATAAATACCATTTATTTGGCACGTTACGGCGTATTTACAATACTGAGCAGCATTCCATAGAGCATGACTTGTAAGTTTTTACAAATTAATTAATTTTTTTTATTGAAAAAAAAAATAGGTTGAAAATTAAATTAACATGTTCATGAATGCAATTTTGGGTACAATGTGTTTTTAAAAATAAATAATACAAAATATGTTATTATAATGGAAATAAATATGATGTGGCCTTTTCAAGCAGCATCAACGATTAGTCACTGTCTAACCGTTATCTTGTTGTACATAATATCTCGACATCAGCCAAAGCTATTGTAACAAAATATACGTGTACTTTTTTGCAGCTACAATATAAGCTATAATGTTAGATGAAAATTTACAATTTAACTTGTAGGTAAAAATATTTTTTTTTTAAATTAAAAACGTTATTCGACCTTCTTGTATTTTCTTTGCGCTTTTTCCAATAGCACGAATATCAAACGAGCTTCGATGGAATAATAATTCGATCACATGGCTCGATGCAAGTCGTTGTTATTTTGATATTGAGTACATAGAAAAACAACATTTGTATGCATAAAAGGTATAATAAATTATTCACTATTTGCTTACAATGAAATATTAAAATTTAATCAGTGATCACGGTGGTCAATCTATGATTTATAACTAATAGTAGATAAATTGTGGTTAATATCTATGTGTCATAACTCATAACTCTTAAGAACGGCTGCTTGTTAATCACAATATTATTAATAGTCCTACTATTCAAATACAAAGATGATATTTTACAAGGAAAACTATTTGACAATGTACCTACCTATATTATCCATCATTGTATTAAGCTCCATTTTCTCAAAGTTATGTTTTTTTTTTCTGTTATTATTATTTTTTAATATGGCTCAACAAATATCAATATCAGTATATTTTATTGTGAGTATAATTGTAATCGAGAACAGTTTTAGACCAATGGGACTAATTTTAATGCACTTTAAAAAAAAATAAAATATCAATAGTTTTATAAACAAACTGTTATAATTATTATTACTTTTGGTCTTTAAAAAAATTTTGATTATTTTCATTCGAAATAATTAATTTATATTTTCCCTATTAAAAAAAGACCATTACTTAATTTTAATTAAATAACTGATAAGAAAGCCAGACCTAAGAAAGAAGATACGTTAAGGATATGTATAAGTTAGAGGAGAGAATATTCAGAAATGACGGATTTGGTAAAACAATTGAAAAAGTAGAATAGTTGGTGCCAGGTGGGGCAAATAAAATAAAATGGAAAAAGTAGCTTACACCAAATTCGTCATATTATTATACCTACGTTTTAATAACGGGAAAAAGGAATTTACAGCGATGGAAAATACGCGACCAAACCTTATGGGTGTCAAAATGTATAATATAATACATATTTGCAGGTATAATATGGTCGAGACTATGAACCTATAATGAGTACAATAATGTCATTTCAATGATATCAATTAACATGTTTTTGAAATACCTCTTTGGTCAATTCCTAGTTCATAACATCTTACTCAAATCGTGCACTTAGTTATTACAATTTGACAGTATTCGTTTACATTTTTACCGGCAAACATGTTGCATTTGTAACATTTTACGGTCAGTTTTATAACACTAATTAATTTCAAGTCTTCGCACGTGTAAGATATTTTTTATTTGAGTAAGCTATGATATTCAATAAGTAAATGTTATACCTTAAAGTGGTATATAAAGAATTTCGCGATTTTATTTTGGACAACGCTATACATATTAATCTAATCTAAGTCCATAGTAGAATACAGTGTAATAATACTTTCAATAAAACGGGAGAACCTGCTAATATATTATTTTACAATACTAATATAGCTAATATAAGTGTTAATAGATAATATTCAATATTATTGGAATCCAGTACTACATCAAACGTGTATTGTGTAGGACCCGGTATTTATGAATAATTTATAATTCTATTGTAAATGTTAAGTGTACAAGTTAAGAATTTATAAAAAAAAGTGCAGTCAAGTTTTTAGGCAAGACAATGTCCATGATGCATTTAATATAATAAATTATATTCATCACAATGATAAAAAATGTATAAAATATAATTATTTTAAATATTCAATTAAAATATATAATAATAATAAAAATAGTATAATAATAAATAAACGTATGTAACTTTTACTAACAACATTTTTTACCAGACGCCCACAGCAACTGTAAGCAATTTAAATCATTTTTGGGGGTGTCAAATTTGTTTTTTACAACTATTTATTACATATTAATTTATATGTATAATTTAAATATTACAGTTTTTATTAGATTTTTTTTATTTTGGTTTTATATTTTTCAAAAGACATAATTCAATCATTTGTTCGACGAAAAGTTTTTACATTTAATATAATATATAATACTTTTAGCATAAAATCTTTACCTTTTTTTTTCATAGTATAAAAACATATAATTTTAGTAAATTATTAGTAGTTAATCTTTTGTATACTTGAGTCATCATTAGTAAAATATAACATATGATTTGAACTTGGAAAGCCCGACCATCATTTGGACCCGAGCCGGGGGAGTTAATTGGTTTCATAATCGAATTTCAGCCTTTCAAGATTTAAGTTAAACTCGGCCTTACTCGTCCTGACTTGGGGTAAATTAATCTGGGTCATCGGGATAAG